TTAAATGTATATTACAATTATAGTTAACAGCAATGCTAGTAATTGCACACACTTGCCCTTGAACATCCTTGTATGCACATATGGTGGCACTAACCCGGTAAACTTATGCCTAAATGAGCAACCAATAGAGATATGAAAGTTAGATTAGAAATATTTTGTAACAAGCATTCCACCTTCCCTCGCATCTGGCCTCATTATATCAGAATTGACTTGGAAAAATCTGAACCCAAAGTCTCCAAACAACACTAGGCAATCTGGCTCTAATTGTACCTTCCTAGTAAGCACCTCAAACTTTTGAGCATCAAAATCAAACAGAATTAATCAACTGAAATAGAAACTCACTCTTAACGAGTTAGTGGTGATTTTTATCCATTTCCACTCAAATGCAACATTTGTTGTGGGACCTCCATGTGTAATACAGGTTCACGAGAGTTGTGTTATTATTAAAATCACAAAAGTATAAAACTCCAAAATCCTATCCAATGGAGTATCACAATGTGGATAGTGAAAATGAAACAAATCCATCTCAAACAAGTAATAATGTTTGGAGTAAAACTGACTGTGAAGTAAGGGCTGGAACCAAAGCCTTCACTCCCCCGGCACTTATAATCTTCTGTCGGCATTCCTCGATCATGGCCAAGTTTGTTAAACAAGCGAGAGTCGCCTCTAAAAGGGCTCCCACTTCAGGCTCTGGTAAGCCTAAGCATCCAATTATGGCCTCGACACCAAACGAGCTCGAAGACACATATCTGTGACAAACGAAGGTAATGGGTGAAAAACAATTTTTTAATTAAAAAAAATAAAGCTGTAAATTTACATTTTTTCATCGCTTAAAATAGAGAAAGAGAGAGAAGGTGAATATACAGCTAAAAAATCTTAAATATTATATTATTTTAGTCGAATTGAAGGAATTGTAATAGTGAATTTACTTGCAGGCGTCTGCGTGTTCATTTGTGAGACTGGCTAGTGCCAGTGTCCCAGCACATTTCAGGGTTCTATTTTCGCTACGTATCAGACGTAGAAGTGGCTCCAAAGCACCTAAAAATAAGTAATAACAATTAATAATTATCGTTTAAAACAGCATTATTCGGAAATCTTATTTATATATGAAATAATGAAGGACCTATATCATCCTAGACACTATAAGGGAAGAAGCTAAGTACGATACATTAAATGAAACATGAAATATGGTATATTTTAACAGATTACATGGAGAAATTATATAGGATCCTTAACAAGTGAGAATTTAGAACATTATCGCTGTCTTATATTGACACTTTATAACGAATCAAGAACTTTGATATTCGGGTTACTTCTCACCTATCCTATTGTTTTTGCTCGGCATTTACTTACCAAAAAAATTTGAATTCTCGTAAGAACTAGTTTGTATGAACTAAAAACTGACTAAGTTCCAGTAAAGCCATACATCTCATATCTGGGCAAAAAGTTCAAGAATAACTTTAGTGTTGGTTTGTGGGCTATTATTGGTTAATGCCGAGAAGAAATTTACCTCTCATTGCCTGGCTGTGAGAAATTAGATAATAGCTCAAACGTATGAATAGAGTATGTGCTACAGAATTTAGAACGAGAGGAAATTTGTAGCATGCTAAGACGATTAATATCTGCGTACATTCTGGCAAAGGTGATAGGCACCCGATTATATCAACTTGAACACATTTATTTGTGATTTATACTTTAGATTATACTTTTTACAACATTACTACCTAATTTGATGAATGTCTCCTGACACATCCGGTTTTCTGCTATCGTAGCTATTGCCTGACCAGATGCACCTCGAACCCCAGCGTCTTCATTAGAAACCAATGCAACGAGGGCGCGCTCCACTTCGGAGTCGTGTAGAGTTCTACAAATTTCAGCTGGAACAAAACAAATACTAAAACAATAGAGTTGTATTGAAGGAAATTACTCCCTATTTTATCTTCATGCCAGCTCTGTAATTCTATGTCTGGGATATGATTTCATTCACATGTCAGAACTAAATGTAGAAATAGTGAGAGGACTTTGCAAAAGCGTCATATTCTGACTTGTCAACAAGTATTTTAACTAAATTTGGTTATTCATTTATCATATTTGTCGGTATTCAGAGAAGGTCTTAACTTTGGTGCTTAAAGCCCAGATTCATTTAGTTTCGAAAATATCTCGGCTAGAATTATACTTTATTTTTCGTATGTAAGTACAGTTTCGAGACTACCAGTAAATCAGTAATATGAGATGTATTCACCCTATTTCATTTAAGGTGATGAAGAAATGGAAGTAGAATTTTCCCACAATGATATGAATAGGGCTGACGTTTTTATTCAATTTCACAGAGCATTGCTTTCCAAAACGTTATTCTCATACAGGCCCCAGTGGACTACAATTTCGACATCGCATCAGTCTTATCAACACCCCCAGCGGGAATCGAACAGTGACAGTGGAGAATGTGAGCTTGACATGTTAACCACACAGCCACATTGCCAGCCCTTGGGTCTCAGGGTAGATGTGAATTTCAAGGAAGGCCATATCACATTCTTTGGTGGGATTGTCGATGAAGCAAACGTATTTTTGCTATAACAATTGACAACGTTACTTTATTTTTCGTATGTAAGTAGAGTTTCGAGACTACCAGTAAATTCACATTTGTCCTGTGACCCAAGGACACTCGAAATAGGGTGAATACATCGAATAGAATTATACTATTACTGAAGGAAGACACTCGCTTGTATCGCCCTATGGTGATAATGCTGGAAATCATGATAGATATTATTGCACTTGATCCAGGGCTAGGTACGCTCCACAAGGTATCCCTGTCGCTGCAACCAAGTTGAGAAAACGAGTTCAAGCCAACACTACAGCCAAAAGAGACTTAGGCAAAAGTAGACATAATAGTTCAAAATATTAGCTTCTTCTAAATGCATAAACAGTAAGCCTCATAATTGTAAATTTAAGAAAAAGTCACTTTGTATAACATACGTTTCCTAGCAACGCGCATGATTATGCGACAAGCCTGTATTTTGGCTTCTGGAAGCATGTATGATGGTAATTTATCTTCCTCTTTCTTATCTAAAATATTAGAAAATAGGAATAAAATGGACAGCCAATCAAAGTAATTTCCATTGGCTTAGAACAAAGGATTTACAAATTTGCTAGCTATTTGAATAAGTAGTATAAATTCAAGTTGAAAAAACACCTGTCACCTGGATCTGTTTTCTTTTTTCTTGCACTTCCTCCTTTGGTACTCGGGGCTTTTTTTCCCTTGCCACTTCCAGTGCGTCCAAGATTGCCACTATTGCCTGCCATGAACGTCTCAGCTTCATCAGGGGAAGCGGAATCCGTGATGAATTTCATCAATAGGGTAAGACCACCTGCATCTTTTAGTTGCTATTTACAAAATGAGTTTAATTAGCAAGCTAAAATAAATAGTTTAAAAATCTTAAACAATCCTTCTATTAATCGGGAGGAGATTGCAACCAAAAAAAGATGCCACAACATCCTTGTCTTCATATCTACTATTAAACATTTCTGGCTTGCAGACTGCATACAAAATAATCTAAGCGTGGATCATTTAGCCAGGGTAATAAAAATTGAGGGTGTCTGCCACTTTCTTAAGACTATAATTGATGTTTTGAGTAACACATAAAAATGAAAATAAAAAACAAATCATCATATTCTATTAATTCTAGTAACTTAATGAGCTTGATCCTAAGAAGACAATCTTAGGATGAAGTAAGTCTTAAGGTTTTTTTTTTTTCCATTTCAGTGTATTTTAGAGAATAATTCAATGATTGACTATATAGAACTTGTTAGATAAAGATTGTGGTACTATTCTGATTTTAATACAAAAAACAACATTAAATTATG